AAACCTTTAACTCCATATTCCAAACTTTTTACTCCATATTCCAAACTTTTTACTCCATATTCCAAACCTTTTACTCCATATTCCAAACTTTTTACTCCATATTCCAAACCTTTAACTCCATATTCCAAACTTTTAATTCCATGTTCCAAACCTTTACTCCATACTCCAAACCTTTAACTCCATACTCCAAACTTTTTACTCCATATTCCAAACCTTTAACTCCATATTCCAAACTTTTTACTCCATATTCCAAACCTTTAACTCCATACTCCAAACTTTTTACTCCATATTCCAAACCTTTAACTCCATACTCCAAACTTTTTACTCCATATTCCAAACCTTTAACTTCATATTCCAAACTTTTTACAACATATTCCAAACTATATCCTTCAAAGTTTCATGTATGAGTGGGGATATACACAAGATGATATGCGATACTATAAATAGTAACACTCGTGCAGATTCTAGGTGTGGCGAGGCCTTGGTGTAAGTCGCTGGTACTTGGTGATGTGGTTCAAGGCATGACCATGTACCCTGATGGCATGGACCACTGTTAACAATATCAGTCACTAGATTGTCAGCCCCTTTTTTGATTATTTACAGTTCGTAAATTATGTTGTTCACTGGTCTCAAGGGGGACATGGGTTGATGTACCCTTGATGTTTGTTCATGTTCAATGAGCCCAAAGGGCGAGGGGAACATAAAGAAACAGCCTGGGTACATCAACCATGGGCCCCGAGGGACCAGTGAACAACGTATTCCTCAATGGTAATTTTGAACTGCTTGAAGCACGGGTATCGGATGACAGTATGGAGTACCAGACGTCAAGACGACAAGAAAAACAAATTTAGAGTTATCACCCTTCCATCGATTTGCATTCGCAAAACATCGGTAATTTCCGTACATCATACGTGATTCAATGTTATTCGAGACAAAGAATTACCACCACGAAGTACCAAATGAGTTCAGCATTCCCAGCGGGGGTACATAGAAAATGTTACTTGCTTGTAAGTGGGTTACATTGAAAATAATAGAAGAGTGCTCAGCCAATCAGAAAACGACATTTATGTGTGAGAGGCAAGATAATGCTGATTGAGGCTTAAAACACACACACACATCCAGGTCAAAGATCTCTAGGCAGGTGCTCAAGAATCGTGTCAAACGATTGAATAAGTACACTTCTATCTTTTATTTGTGCAACTCTGAATATGTTAATAATTCATTTGTGTATCGGTAGATACACTGGATCAGCATGCATGATACTAGCATCATTCTGGAGAGGCCAGCGCTGATTGAGGCTTAAAACACACACACACATCCAGGTCAACAATGTATTTGAATGTATAATCATATTGAAACTCTGAGATGAATAATGCTTTGTGTACAAGTACACGCTTACAAGTACACGCTGTGCTATACATTGTTACAGCATACAATGCCATGTTGCACAATCAGTTATACCATGCTGGGAATAACACCATTATCTACACTGTGCAAAAACGTATCAAATACACAATCTGCATTTAAACCAGCATACCACTTTCAAATAAACCTCAGATCATACCAAATCTAATAAATATTGCAGCATACCCCTTCCATGAAATATTAGATAATACCCATCCTGTTAAATATCATAGCATACGCCTTCCATGAAATATTAGATCACACCCCTTCCCATTAAACATGCGTGTGTATGTGTATGTGCGGCTGCTTGTACTAGCCCAGACTGAAGCTGGTTTTATAGTGCTAGCCCACTGAGATACCATGCCGCAGTGAAGCATGAATACCCCACCCAGGGACCAACAAGTACCATATTTTAACGTCTTTTGGTATGACGCGGTCGGGGATCGAACCCACGACCTTCTGCTCTCCGGGCGGACGCTCTAACCACTACACCACGGAGGCGGTACCCTTCCCATTAAATATTCTATGATCACACCCCTTCCCATTAAATACTAGATCATACCCATCCCATTGAATATTAGATCATAACTCTTCCATTAACTACTAGATCATACACGTCCCACTGAATATTAGATCATACCCTTTCCATTAAATATTAGATCATACCCTTCCTAGAAAACATAAGACTGTACCCATCCCATTACATCATACATGTCATGCTCCTGTTGAAGATATGTGAAAGATAACAGTAAAGACATAACAAATCCAGGGCTAACATATCTTCTACAAATTAAAAACACACACAAAGCAGGGCACCATGTGTTCGAAATACATGTGTTGCCATGGTAACTGGGAAGCATTGATTGCATGTATCAGTCTGAGCAAGACATCCTCGTGGTCTCAGAAAGCTTGGTGTCGCCAATTAATTTACATCTTCCAAGTGATAAGATATTGCATATTTTGAAAATGTCCATGAAGACGAGATCTCATTTAAATCTGATTCCCTGCGTAGAAAGATTCCTTTCGACAAACGATGTTAAACTGTATCAGCTTTATGTTGATGATGTCAAATGAAGGATATTACAATAAGCAGCTTTGTTTAATAAAACATGACGGCTGTAAACTTTACGACTGAAACGACTTGCACAAGAAATCCTGCTCAGTTCATGACAGATAATGTGAACCAGTTGTGACAATTATCGTGAAGCAATTAAAATTGCAGAATCGGAGCATCAAAAGAATCAGACAATAACTCTCCAGAGACAAATAACAGCATCTTGAGAGTCAAAAAAAGGGGAGTATGTTGACATACTGTAAGAGTATCACAGCACTGTATTTAAACCATTCTCACTGATGCACTAGTTCGACCTCGTCATGCAGCTAAATCTGTTTGGTTTTCAGCAAGCTGCAATAGTTTATACCCAGATAGCATTCAGACATTGGCCCAATGTTGGCAATGTTGGCAAAACCATTGCCAACGTTGGGTCAACGTCTGAATGCTATCCGGGTAGTGCGTCTATGATCTTGTCCGACACTTAAATTAAGGACATTTTTATGTTCAGCTTCATCATCATCATCATCCTAATGGTTTAATTGCTATAATCATCATCATAAATAGACATCACATTTTCATTCAGTGTATTCAGTCATTGCCATCAGATAACTATCATCATTATCATCGTTGCCATAGTGATGGATATATGATACAGGAAAACCATAGCCCTTTACAGTCCACATTTCAAAGAAATTGCTGCTCAATTTACAGGATTTGATAACAAGCGTTGCCCACTGAGCCTGATAAGGAAGATAATTAGTCTGAATGTCATTAAGATTCCTCTGTCTGGTCCTACCCAAGTATGCATTGCAGTCTCCAGCAGAACACTGCCCCAAAGGGTCCTCGGTTGTTGACGCCGCCAACAATACTGGCTAAAATCCAGTTGTAAACATGTATAATTAATTCATACACAAATCATTGAAAACTTGTCTGGTTGGTTTGGTATCATTAGCATTGAAAGACTTGTTACTATCAAATATAAAATCAATCTTACAACTTTCATGTCCGTGATCAACCTACAAAGAATTGCAGCAGCTGAGGATCTCAAATATTTATTTACTGGAATCACTGGCCCTTGTACTGATACCTTGGAAGTCAATGCCAAGTAGAGTGGTAGTGTTACTAAATCTGCCTATGGACATATACTGACTACAACACAACAGGTCAGACATTCTGTACGTCTGCTACATAAAAAGATAAAACCCTTCATGATCCTTGATGCAGATATTTACCTGGACCTGCACTGAGACTTATCTACAGGTCTGCTGCAAACAAAAATGTACCCAGTTTAAATTTATGTGCTTTTAGAGGTATCATGTATTTCACTCATAATGTCTTTCACTAAATCCTTGCAATAAGATTAGATTTTTTCAGAACAGCTTGACTTGACTTAAATTGTTGACATAAAACCCAATCTTTCTTGTCTATTTCACTGATGTGATCATTAGTATAGGTGTTTTAGCATAGCTGTATCCCTGCCTACAAAAACACTGTTGTTAGTAACGAAATTAACAGCAGATAAATATTGCTTTCATTAACAGATGGTGATAAAAGGCAAATATTGAACATAGCCCATCAAACTGAATACATACACAATGTCAAATGGTCAAATTGTAACAAAACAAGAGCTAAAAAAACCCACATCATTGCAAACTTTTCAAAGTTATCTGAAAAAAGAGCCTGTGTAAAGCCTAACTGGAAATTATTTACTGCCCATTCTGAATTTAATGTAGTAGCCACAAATATAACAGCCAATTGTATGCCTCTCAGTTTTTGCAGTATCCCACAAAGTTTCAGCTCAAAAGCTACATCAAATGTTCAGAAAAAGGTTGCATTTCAAAGCATAGTTAAATGAACAGGTCAAAACAAGAACAAAATTTAATTCAGTCTAAGGCAATTGGACATACTGATTTAGGTGGTACTTAATTTGTCAGTCTGTAGACAGGTGTTCAAATATGTCTGAAATGGTGGCCATTTGGAATATTGCATCATGCAATATATGCAATAGTTAAACAAGCAATGATACTAGCTCACACAACCTTCAATAGAGCTGAGTCAAATTGTCGATTAGGTAAAGATCATGACTAGATTCACAAACTTTTATGTTTAAGATCACGGTTTGATAATATCAGCATGTCATGAATAAAGACGGCACACATGTGATGTATTCTAAAGAAAGGTAAAGAAAGGTGAAGAAACATAATATTCACACAATTCACTTCAACAATGCCCAATGTTGTCAATAGTACTCCAATGGTGCCTGAAATAAATGCATGCAAGGATTGCAAAAAAATATTTAAATTACGAAACATTTCCATGCATTTTTCAAATGTACTAGCTTACTAAAGGCATCACTAGACATTTTCTGAAAGTCAAGAGAGTGAATGACCACTATTCACCATCGATCCTGAAAAGCATTGTATTGAAGCACTGAACTATACACATTCTTTCAAAAGACACAAAGAGGTGAGTGCACTTACCATGCAGGCAGAATGACATACAGGTACTTATTATTATATTGCATTAATTATGTAAAGGATATCTCCATTCAACAACCCGGATGCACAGCTTTCTGATAGGGTTGTTCAAGCGGAGACAGAACAAGGCCCGCTGCGGGCGCACGTTCTGGTTTTGTTGTTTCCTCATGTTGGCACGTTTGCGAGTCATGGTTGCGGCGCCAGCTGCAGCAGCTAGAGCTGTATTCCAACCTGAACTGAGAAGAACCTTTCCGTCTTCACCTCCCTCGACACCTTCGATGTCACCCTCCGCGGGTGCACTGCCACTAGGTGTCGCTTCGGCAGGGGAATTTTGGCCGTTTTGCGGACACGGCGATTGGGTATCCGATAGATCCCCACCCCTTGTTTCTGTGGTTCTTGCTGACCGAATTGGGCTTTTATCAGGGCCCCGGTCATTGTTTGACCCTGTAAACAAAAAACATAGAGATTAGATCACTGATGATTCCAGGCTGACATCACAGCAAGTGAATAGTTTATCAACACACTCTCATACCTGCCAACATTCTGTTGCCCCAACTTACCATTTGCTGCCTACCCTTGCACAATTACGTAATATTATGAAAGAAGAGGCTTGCTAAAGTGCTTTCAACAGTGATTCAGTTAACTCAAGACTTGAGAGAGGCAAGACCAATGTGACGCAGATGGTAAATGATCACCAGTCTCGTAAAACCTGTGATCATGGGTATGCTGCCAATATACCAGGAATCATCAATCAATAATTTCTCCACAAACACTGATTCCTGGTGCAGCCAAGGGAAGCAACACTATCTGTTTTGCTAATTGGATCACTGACCCAACTTGCCATCAAATACATCAGAAAATGGATGCCTTCATTTCATAGAATGTTTGATATAGCATATTATGTATACACATACACAGTAAACATTCACAATTATAATGATCAACCCATGTACAATGATAATATTGAACCACAATAATGTGGTTCAGGGACTGTGAGACAGACTAGTGTGGTTCCACTACACCTGGATCTCTAACTGTTTACTTTAATTATAACAGTTGCTAAACAGTAGTGTTGGGCATTTCATGACAGCAGTAACATTAAGCAGATATACATTACATACATGTCTTTATACACCAAATATTTGAAAAACGTATGAATTCCACAACGAACACATCATAAGACTTCAAGTAAGTATATGGTTGAGGTGAGGTGAAATTGGGTTTAACGTCGTGCTTGAGAATATTTCGCTCATATGACGATGTGCATGTGTGTGTATTAGGGGTGTTGCGATATGCGAATGTATCGATACATCGATACATTTTTACTGACGATACGATACGCGATACATGCTTACGTGTATCGATTCCTATTTTAAAACTTTATCGATTCAAATTTTTATGCTATATCCATCTCTGTCAAAGTCTTGATAGTAAAATTATACCAGATAGCTCCGATAAATAGATGTAGCTAGCTTTACTTAAAAAATAAGTTGGAAACTAACAGCTTTTGTGATTGGCTAGACTATTTTGATGGACCAATCAGCGAGCGCGTACGTTGCCGGTAAGGTAATGCTATGAAAAGGCGCGATAATTATGTATCGCGATACGTATCGTATCGTGACCTTAAAATCGTGATACGTATCGTATCGTGAGATTGGTGTATCGTGACACCCCTAGTGTGTATGTATGTGCGGATGCTTGTACTAGCCCAGACTGAAGCTGGTTTTATAGTGCTAGCCCACTGAGATACCATGCCGCAGTGAAGCATGAATACCCCACTCAGACACATTATACTGACTCCCGAGCCGACCAGTCCTTGTTGTACCCATTAATGCAGAGCCCCAGGCAGGGACCAACAAGTACCATATTTTAACGTCTTTTGGTATGACGCAGTCGGGAATCAAACCCGCGACCTTCCACTCTCCGGGCGGATGCTCTAACCACTACACCACGGAGGCGGTCAGTAAGTATATAGAGAGTGATGCAATGTTATCAAGTACACCCTTCACTCTGTACACTCTTACGTGTACTTGTAAACAACAACAATGATGAAACACATCATGAGGCAGCATTATGGTATGGCAGCACTGCGGATTACAGGAAAACTGATCCGTTTTGCCATGAAGTCCGCGAAATAACCCAAGCTCATCTTAAGATGTCTTAAGTAGATGCACTTAGTCACCAGCAACTAGTAATCAGAAATTAGGCCAGAAAAAAAGTCTTGATTCTTCCCAGTGTAACGCACCTGCATGACAGGATGTGCTGCAAGTCAGAGATAACCATGGTAACAGTTTTAATTATTTGTTATCCCTGTTCCTTTTCACAAAGTCTTAACAGGGCATATTTCTGTTTTGGGGTTTCCAGGGTTTGAAATACCCCATATATTAGCATGCCATGGCACAGTAAATAATGAAATGGCACGGATAAAAAATGTTTTCAGTGCCCTAATGGCACGCCTAATTTTTTAGAGACACCTTTAGTCATTTAATCCCCCAAACAAAACACTTATGCAAATGACAAACAAGCAAAAAGATTTATTGACTTCATCAAATGACAAATTGAATTCATCGCCCAGGAAATCACTGGAATTATGATGGATGATGTAAAGAAATCTGGTTGTTTTTCCATTTAGATTGATGGGAGTACTGATAGTTCGGTTATTGAAGAGGAAATTGTGTATGTTAGATATATTGAACAAGTGAACCGGTCACAAAATTCTCAGCTATTAAAGGTGTTGGGAAAGCAGAACAAATGAAGCTTAAAGGTCACATGCAACCAAAAAATCAAACATAATTAAAACACAATTATCACTTATTCATGACATATAATATACATTGCTGGTTATGAAAAAACATATAAACAAAATTATAAGTGTACAATCGCAAAACCAAAGTGCAATATTGTGTACTTCGGTTTACTTCCCAAGAAACGAAGCAGCCGGGATACCGAACCCAGTCAGAGCGGTGGGTGTGCACTCAAGTGTAACGGCTGGTTCAGTTGCAGATGCCTTCACGGCTAATTGTGTGTATATATATATAGAGAGATGTTGGGTTTTGTAAATACATGCTCATTTTTTGTGTATAACATTTTGCAATCAACAGACATCATAACATGTCATGTGTTCAAGTATCACACCTGCCTGTCTGTGTAATTACATAATGTGACAGAGACCCGAACTCGGCCATAAATCAATGCGCTTTTGTTTATTGTGTATAGCCTGATTGGTGTTAGTTCAAATCGCTTGTGGTCAGTGATAGCAGCTGTGTATTGAATATTGTCATTAGCAGACAGGCAGGCAGACACACAGGTGTCAATAAAACAAGACATTGAGTTTTGTCTGTGACAACGACATATCTATATCACAGTTAGAAATTCTGTCAACGCTAAATAGTGACATTGCTTTTAAGTATCGAACTGAGAAAGTTTCTCGGTAAGAAGAACGTGTGGTGAAATAGACAAATGAAATTATATAAACAGTTAATTTACTGTCATAACATATAAAAAGCTCGCGCCTGTGAGATATCAACAAAACATTAGAAAAATAGCTCACACCAAAGCCTTCACCGAATATTCACCCGACAACCGCTTCCAAGCTGCGCGAACCTATTTACTTGCGCACGTGCTATGAGCGCAGCCCAGCTGTTGAAACCCGTTTTCCCCAGAAAACTCTGGGGAAATTTAGTGAAACGTTTGAACTCCGATTTCGCGCGTTTTTTTTCATCGCGTTATTTTTCAACTTTATAAGTTGAATTTGCATTTTGACGAAAGGTATCAGAATCTGCAAAGTTGTGTTTTACGTTGCATGTGACCTTTAAGAAAGCCATCTTAAACAGATGACATATCAGTGATAACAGAAAACAGGTTACATTTGTTGTTTACTAACAATAAATTTCAAATGATCATCATCATTGCTACAGTCAATTCCAAAAACATGTGGACACTCTTGATTTCTGAAAGGCACAATGACATGTAAAATATTTGTCTGGTTGAAGGTTAAAACAGTACAGTGGAAGACATCAATAACCCTAACACATGTAGAGCCAATTAATATATTTCTTTAAATATACATACAGAAACTTCCAACATTTATGAAGATCAATATTAATGTCATGGACAGTGTGTGAGTGCTGTTATAGACTGTCTTGATACACAGTGTTGGCTGGAGTGCCACTAGGAGCAGGATGTCAGTAATATCACACTGTGACCAATCCTGTGTTGTAGGTCAAAGACATTTTACCGTTTGTTTGGTCATGACAAACCATCGCTGCAAATAGCTGCAAGATTCAGCACTCAGCAATACTCACTCACTGCCACACAGTGGTAACATGCTATTAACTGCTCCAGATTTCATATGAGGGGCGGTGGGGTAGCCTAGTGGTTAAAGTGTTTGCTCGTCACGCCGAATACCCGGGTTCGAATTCCCACATGGGTACAATGTGTGAAGCCCATTTCTGGTGTCCCCCGTCATGATGTTGCTGAAATATTGCTAAAAGCAGCATAAATCCAACTCAGTCCGTCAGGTTTGATAAGTCCAATTTTTTCTGAAGAAAAATGAGGAATATCAGCTTTTATGATGTCTGTTGTCTCTAGAGGCCTATTCCTGCAAGTGCCCCATACTTTGACAACATGGAGATCTTGTGTCTAAAATTAGTTTCCACTTAACCAGATTGCTGGGCTTCTGTCAAATGTAAGATGATAGATGCACTTCAAATTATGAGCCACAACAAAGAGGGAAAGAACGATAAAGATCAAGTCTCATAAACATCTAAACTATCCTCTAGGATAAACAATGAACAAGAGTTGCCAGGAAATTGCAACAAGTTAGATTGTTAGTATATAGTATGTGGCACAGCGTTCGGCAGCTGGATAATTTAAGACAAACTGAAGGGCAAAAAAAACTGTATACACTTATGTTTGCTGGTGGTTAAGATTTGAAACAACCAGGAAATAGTTATTTCATGGTTATGTATTTGATACGGTATCACAGCTGTGTTTTGAACCTAATTGTTACAGGGTTTTGGCAACTGTTTTCAAACTATTTGCGTTTTGATGATATTTGTAATTTATGGTCAAATCCAATTTTCAAGTTTATGGGATTGCTATGGCTGTTGATTTTGTTTGTAGTTCAAAACTACTTCAACTATTTAATGAATACAACAGTCTGTATATGATCATGATAATCAAGTGTGGACTAGACAATCCAGTGATTTGATCACATGAACATCAATCCACCCAACTGGGATTAAGAAGACATGCAGTCAACCACACCCCTGAGTCAGACCATATGATACATTTTGTAACCCTTGACAGTAGAGGACGTAACGTGTACGCGAGACGGTCCCCGTTCCGCATACAAGTGACTACCTGATAGGGGGGTCACTCATTAACGTGACTGCCTGATCACAGACCGGGAAATTCTGCATGTCACACAAAAACGTGTCTAA